ATAATAAAATTGTAAACCGCACAAGAGTGCTTGAAGCGCTATGGGGCGGTATATAAGCAGCACGCTTTGCTTTTGCTTTTGCTGTGAAGAACTTGTTCAACACATTTCAGATAAAATCACACTCAGATCTGCTCTGACTTGAATGTTGGTTAATGTAGGCCCTTTAGGTAAACTTGGCTTCTTCTTGCCCAGAGTTAATTGATTCATTTTGATTTGTGGGACTTGAGAATGTGGACAGTATCTCTGGAGAACTGAAAAACACCTGTCTTCTGAATCCTTTTTTTAGTGGATTATAGAATTGATTAGAGATTATCTGGTTGAGTGGGTAAGCTGAATTGTGAATGTCTGTTTAGAGTAGGGCAAAATTCTATCCTGGCCCAGGGAGGCATTTATAAGGTTTTTATTAAAAATATACCTTGCCTGGATTCCACAATAATGGGAAATTACCAGCCTGTCTCAAGATGACATTTTTGGGTAAGGCATTGGAGTGTATGGTGGCTTCTCAACTCCAGGGTACCTGGATGAGTGAGATTCTCTGCATCCACTTAAATCAGGATTTAGGCTAGTTATAGGACAGAACATGTTTTAGTCAGTGAATGATCTGCACCAACAACTAGACAAGGAAACTGTGTCCCTATTAGGCAAAATTAATGTAAGCTTGAAAGCTTACATTAAAATATAAAAGTTAGTCTTTATGATGCTACATGGTTTTGTCTTTGTTTTGTTTTGTTTCTTTGGATTTTGCCTGATATGCTTGCATAGATTAACACGTCTGCCTCCATATCTCTATTGGTTGTGCTGAACCTCTCAGCAGCTTTTGATACCATTAACCATGGTATCCTTCTGAGCTGAGATGGGTCTTGGCGGCACTGTGTTGCATTGGCTCTGATCCTTCCTGAAGGGACAAACTCAAAAGGTGGTGATGGGGGACACAGTGCTATTGGCCTGTGGTGTTTCTTGGGATTCGACTTTATCCTTTATGCTTTTTAACATCTACATGAAACCACACGGAGCCCATAAGCAATTAAGATGGGGAAGTTCAGTAGACTTTTAAAATTTTGTTTTATTTTATACTTTTAAAATGTTTTAAAATATTTGTATCCTCTAGTTTAAAATGTTTAACTACGTACATTTTCAATTATTTGTGCTTTCTTTCTTTCTTTCTTTCTTTCTTTCTTTCTTTCTTTCTTTCTTTCTTTCTTTCTTTCTTTCTTTCCCTTTCCCTTTCCCTTTCCCTTTCCCTTTCCCTTTCCCTTTTTCCCTTTCCTTTCCTTTCCTTTCCTTTCGTCCTTTGGTCCTTGCAAGAGAAGAAAGATGATCTAAATAAAATAATATAAAATACAGTGGTGCCTCACTTAACAACAATAATCTGTTCCAGGAAAATTGCCATTAAGTGAAAACATTGTAAAATGAAATTAAAAACCCAATTGAAACACATTGAAACCCATTCAATGCATTCCAATGGGGTAAAAACTCACCGTCCAGTGAAGATCCTCCATACAGTGGCAATTTTCACTGCCTGTACAGCGAGGAATCCGTCCCTAAACACAGCAGGGAGCCATTTTAAGCACCCGGCGGCCATTTTGAAAACCCAAAGATCAGCTGTTTTGATCATCATAAAAAAAAAGGCACATAGGTAATTTCATGCCATCTTACTCTTCAATTAATGTGGTTCTACTTGTTGTATTGATGCTCACTTTCAACCCCATGTGCTCTCTGGAAGGCCCACAATGGTGTGGTATAAGGGAAGCAGTGCCCCGACATCTTATGTTTATGTGCATACATGGCATGCTTGTGCACAGAGATGTTTTGGATGAAGACTCTATGTTTAAAAAGATGGTAAGTCTAGTAACTTATGCTAACAATTTTGGAGCACCTCCCCAACCTCTCTCCAACAGACAAAACTGAAAAAGAAAGTGTCATAGAGAGCACTGATTTATGAGAGATGAGTACTACAGACGCGGGAATGAACAGTGGCAATTGGACCCCATCCAGATGGATCAGCTAGAATAAACGACCTCGTGCTCTGGCTTTTCATTCACAGCCACACAGGCCCTTAGGTAAATTTCTTCCTCACATTCAATGCACACACTTAATTCTTTGCTGGACTGCAGCTTGTTTTGGGAGCCTGGCAGCCTTCTTTGTCATGGACATTTTACTAATTTACACACACAAAATAACATACTTTCTTTACTGAGAAACCTTGCTCATTAGAAAAGTCGCACTGCTCAGTGTTCTGAACCCTTGTCAACGCCTTGCTTCTGGGCTGAGACACACAAACTGGAAGCTTGAGGCATGTTCTCTGTTCTGAAGTTTCTTTGAGTAAACTGTCAGAAAGCATAAATGCCACCTTAATTAAATTTTCATTGAAGAAAAAGCAGGTTCCTGTCCCAGCTTAATTGTCACTCTCCCAACTGAACATATATTATATATGTTGTGCAAACAGACAACTTGAGACCAGCCAGCAGTTTACGTTAATATTTAATGGCATTTAAAACAAACATATGAGCAATTGTTTGTTCCAGGTGACAGTGCAAACACATTCCTTTCTACCACAATCTTTCCATTGTGAATTTAATGAAGAATGATAACTTTGCAGGTCCTGTGTTCCAGTCTCCTCATGGCCATTTATTATACATAAAGAGGCAACCACCAGCACCAACAAAAATGTGTGGGATTTGTGAAAGGGCTCTGTTTGTTTGTTTAAGGAACTAATCCATGGAATCTCAGGAGAAACAAAAATGTGTGGGATAATTGAAGGCTCTGAGCAATAGCATTTGACTAGAGCTGACATGATGTTTGGCTACGGTTGAAGGTATGTTGCGAAGGCTAGGATGGTTCTTTTGCATATCCAAAAATACGACTGTGGCATCTGCCCAGGTCATGAATATTCATATGCTATCTGCATAGACCAATGGGAGTGCTGGAGGGGCAGAGTCACAAGATATAAGAGACTCAGCAGGAGGAGGGGAAGTTTTCAGATAGAGAGATAGGCAATTAGATTTGAAGAGATTGAAAGTTTTGGAGTTTGGGTGGGAGAGTGGTGGTTGAGAGTGGATGGAGGATGTTTGTTAAGAGTTAACAACATTGCTTGGAGTATCAACATCTGTGACAATAAACAATTTCTATTTGGTACTTTTAAAGCGACATATGGCCTGAACATCTATCATTAATAATAGATAATGTGATATAATCAACTGGTGGCAGCTGAAAGACACGTAGCGTGAGCTCTTGGTTTGGTGAAACAAGCAGGGGCCACGTGGGGATTGTGACAATGACAAATAAAGGGAGGTTATTTGAGACATTTTGATGGTACTTTAATGAGAAACAATGTACTGAATAAAGGACTGACATTTTTATCAAGCCATGTTTACATTCCCTAGGAAAGACAAATTTCCTAAATGGGTCCACTATCAGTCTTCCTATTTGTCTATCATTTTAAAAATACTTCTACTCAAATGGGGATAGGGATGGGAATAATGCTTGTCGCATTCCTTCTTCTTATGGACTGTTGCTTTCTAGATATGACAAGATGCCATAGGGATGGATTGTGAAGAGCTGCAAGATGCCACACCTCCTGATAAGCATGGGATGAAGAGCTCTTTCCCCCCATTAAGGCTGTTCTCATTTGTGCACATTATCTCCAGGGTCCTTTCCCTTTGAGAAGCCAAGTGCACACCCACAGCAAACACAGCAACGAAGTTGCAGACAACACCTCCACTGCTCCACATTCTTAAACAAAGCAGCAACCATGCTACTTTCAGGAAGTTTGTGATATTTGTTTAATTTGCACAATTCTCTGAGTGCATAGAATCATATAATAATGGACTTGGAAGAGGCCTATAAGGCAATCGGGTCCAACCCCCCTATTCAATGCAGGAATTCATATCAAAGTATATCTGACAAATGGTTGTCCCATTTTCTCTTGAATGCCTCCAGTGTTGGAGCGGTCACCACCTCCCATGGCAATTGGTTCAACTGTTGTACTGTTCTAACAGTTAGGGAATTTTCTAACAGTTATACTGTTCTACCAGTTAGGGATTCTGGCTTCCTGCAACTTGAGCCCACTGCACTCTAGGATGATCAAGAACAGATTGAGCCCCTCCTCTGTATGACAATATTTCAAATATTTGAAGAGTGCTATTATATTCTCCCTCAGTCTTCTTTTCTCAAGACTAAATATACCCTGTCCTTCCAGTCTTTCCTCACAGGGTTTGGTTTCCAGTTCCCTAAGCATCGTTGTCACCCTACTCTGAACCTTGAGACTATAATTCTGTTAATGCAGCCTAAAGATCATTTGCTCTTTTTCTCAACCTTACCTCACTGTTGGCTGATGTTCAACTTGTGATCTACAATAATTCTGAGATCCTTCTTATTCTGGCCATTATTAGTTATACAGTGGTGACTCGCATTATGACATTAATTTGTTCCAGTGAAATTGCTGTAAAACGAAAACATCGTAATGTGATTTTTAAAAGCCCATAGAAACGCATTAAACCCTGATTAATGCATTCCTAGGGGCTTGAAACTCACCGTCCAGTGAAGATCCTCCATAGCGCGGCCATTTTCAGTGCCTGTGCAGCGAGGAATGTGTGCCAGAAAAGAGTGGGTGTCCATTTTGTTTACCCAGCGGCCATTTTGAAACCGCCGATCAGCTGGCCGAAAATCATCGCTTTGCGATGATCGGTTCCCGAAGCAGGGAACTGATCATCGCAAAGCAAAATTCCCCCATAGGGAACATCGTTTTGCGATCACTTTTGTGATCGCAAAAACATCAACGTCTAGCAATTTCATTGTCAAACGGAGTGCCCGTTAAGCGAGGCACCACTGTATTCATACCCTGACTTTCTTCCAGTGAGATTAAACTGGCAAACTTAGCTGTCTTTGGTTGGTTACGTGTTCATGTGCAGAAGCTGGCACCTTTGTGTAAGGTGTGTGTGTGTGTAAGTATAAGAAAGTATAGCATGAAAAGATAAACTATGCACCTCATTTCAGCAGCCATCATTTTAATTCAACTTTAATGGGTACTTGTCCTTGGAATCCTGTAATCTTGTTCAAACATGTAGAAAAGTATAAAATGAAGCCATTATGACTTTCTGCTTCACTGACAATGCAGTTTAGGCAATAAGCATTGAGCAGCAGGTAGCTTCATTGGAAATGTTTTAAGACAAATGATTGGTTCGCGTTCTCTGCACAGTCAAACTTCTGATGAGTTTATTGATATTTCTCATTTCCTCCATAGAACCTGAGGAGATGCAATTATCGTTCAGGGCAGGACTTCCGAACAGAAGCCAGTGTCTCAAATTTTGAAGGAAATGGAGCAGTATGTGTTCCTATTCAAACAGAGCATTCCTATAAATTTTATCTAATAGTAGGTGCTCTTGCCTAACTGTGGGCCTAAATCCGGCAAATGACATCAATTAATGGAACTGCTTGTGTCAGTGGAATAGAGTGGGGAAACTCACCTCCCCATTGCTGCCCCTGTGGATCTCCAAAACTCTGTTCCAAGAGATCTGGGAAAGCTTCCAGTGCAGGTTTTCAGAGGGCTACAGGGGGAGAAAAAGGAAGAAATTTCAGCTGTGCTAGTGGTATAAAGTGTGAGAAGTGTTGGATGTAGGCCATGAATTGCGCAGTCTAAATTTATTTACCAATACCACTCACTCCCTGCCCTCTGGTATTTTATAATTTGATTTAAACATATATTAAAGATAACATCTGTTGAGTAGAATCAGCATGCCAAAGCTAAAGTCTAGCAGACTGTAGACACTGAATATTGGTTGAAGAAGAAACTTTTACTGGGTGGGTGCTATATCTTATATATCTTTATATTTCTTAGAGTTTTAATTTTTTTTGTGGGGAAACTGTATTTTTAATTCCATTTTGCAGCATCCTGTGGGGACTCATAGACTGCAATGCCTCAGTTGCCCTAACACACAGTGCAAATTCTAGCTTGCAGTGGATGATCCAGAGATCATCCTGTTCAAAACAACAGAGCTTCTATATGTGCAAGGAGTTTGGGACAGCTGCCCCCTTGCACAAATGGTGGGGAAAGAGACACTATGCACACCCTAGTCCATTATATACATTATAAAAGCAAACAGGATTTTGGCAATTGTGCCCTAATACAGTGGTGCCTCGACTTACGAACTTAATCCGTTCCAGAAGATGGTCGTAACTCGAAATGGTCGTAAGTCAAAGCACCATTTCCCATAGGGATGCATTTAAATGCAATTAATCAGTTCCAGCTGAAGGGAAAAAAATCACTAAAAGAAAAAAAAAACACTGCAAGACCCATCAGAAACACGATTAATCCTTTCCAGCCAAAGGGGAGAAAGAAAAGCAAGCAAACCGGGCAAGACTCATCGGAAATGGGGGGGGGATGACCCAAAAGCAAACAACCCCCCTAAGACCCACCGGAAATGGGGGGGGAACCAAAGAGCAAACAAACCCCCAAGTCTCATCGGAAATGGGGGGGAACCAACCAAACTAACAACCCCCCAAGACCCACTGGAAATGGGGGGAGGCAAAAAACAAACAAACCCTGCAAGGCCCATTACAGCATAGAAACATAATCCCACCACCCAGCCCAAAACTAAGAAACTCAGGCATGTTTGTATACTCACTCAATTTTATCATAACACAACCAAATGAGATTAGTTAGAGAGGGCAACACAACTATGGCCATCTCATTTTTTTTGGGGGGGTGTCATTCCTGAAATCCTGGAGAGCTGCTCCAAGGCAAAGGTGACAGTAATGAGCTAGATGGGCGATGGGTCTAACTCAGTAGAAGGCAGCTTCCTATATACTTAACTGAATAATGTATCAATCATAATAATAATCCCTATTCATGACTGAACATTCCATAAATAAAAAACCCACAAGTAATTATACATTTGAGCCATCATCAATCATATCTAGTGTGCATGTCAAACACCACAAGAATACCAATGATATTTTCCCAATTTTCATCACCAAAATGGTTGTCATGGATTGTATTAATGTTCAAACCCCAGTCAGACAGAACAATAGATTGTCATACAGTAAGTCAGTTAGTCAGACACATACACACAATCACACACACATCCTTCAACAGTCAAGGCAGGACATGCTATTACACCAAAACAGCCAACATATCAAAGGTGTGACTTAGTTATTAATCTTCAATAGGCTCCTAGGTTATTAAACACAAGCAATTCTGTTGCTTCTGTGAAGTGCCAGAGGCTACGTGATGAGTCCAGATGTTAAACGTCTTCTGTTTACTAGAGATAGTCCTTCTTTACTGGTACCAGTTTCTTGTAAACTATTGTAGCACAGTTCAGATGTAGCAGGTAAAAAAAAAATGCTGGCTTGCAATCTTGTTCAACAAGGAGCCTTTAAACTAAAGTTTCCCAGTGACAGAAAGAGTCACAAAGCTCTATCACAGAAGTCTTTTCTCTGATTGGGCATTGAAGGACTGGGGCTAGGCACAACAGAATCTTGAGGCACAACAGAATCTTGAGCTTAATAATGAGCATGTGGGAAGCTGCTCTCTTATATCTAAATGAGACCTGCCATTTTTTAAAAGGAAGGTAACAGAGGATGACTTTCAAGAAGAGTAGACAAGATGGAGCGAGTAGGCTGCATGTGGCCCCCAGTGGCATTCTTGTAACCCTAGTACTGCTGGGGTCCCTTAGCACTCCCCAACTGTAAGCTAATAATTTTTTAAAAAAACTTTAGATTTGGCCACTATAAGGTGCAGGGGGGCTTTTTTCAATATAAACACTTTTTTAAAAGTTACACAATAAACGAAAGCTAATAATAGACCAGTCTTTCTTGAAAAAAATAGCTAGTCACCAAACTCTGGTCTTTAGCCCCTGGACCTGGTGGCTCACAAATCTGACCTGACTGAGATTTCCATCCTTCCCTTACAAATATGTGCATGTGCAAATTGCTTCTCTCTTTTCTCAGTGTTTAAGACCAGCAATATATATATGCATGTGAAGACAAAGTGGAGCCACTGTTGCTACATAAAAAGGAGATTCTACTATTTTGCTTCTACAGAGTGAGAAAGCGAAGCTCTAGCTAACTACGAGGTAGAGCTTGGAAAGTGAGTTTCCCAGGTTTTGCCATTAGCATTCCAAATCTGGTTCAAACATGTGAACTTCTGAGTATTAATAAATTTGCCTTTCATAATTAGATAACTGATGCCCTAAAATAATCCAAACCAATTTTCAGATGTGTTATACGCACTCTTTTAAAAACAATTTTCCTCAGAAGGATCTCTGTGTCCTCCTTTCAGGGGGCAATCTTTTGACCTTCTCCAATACGTCAAAAATTCAAAGGGAAGTCACTCATAGGACTTTCCAATTACTAATTTAAAATAAACCACACTTTAAATTGGGACTTGAGCACAAACTTCTTTCTGTTACAAAGGGAGTATTTAACTGAAAGTGAGAAAACTGGTTTTACAATATTTAGATGCTTGTTAGAAAGAAAGAGGAGGGATCAATCAATCTGTCTTCTCTCCTGAGTGAAGAGAAGGGGAGCTGGGAGGTGGAATCAATTTCTGTCTTATGTGGGGATCTGTATTTCTAGAGATAGCTACATTTGTAATTTCTTTCAGAGACCACTACCTTCAAGCAAAACGTATAGGAAGAGCTGCAAATTGGACACAGCTACTGGAAGTTCAGCTGAATTTGCAGAAAGGTTCAAGAACTTCAATGAACCTAGGCTCACTGCAAAAAGGAAGCTGAAAACTGTGCTTCCAGTATGAAGTTTCATTATAGACATTTCACATGCCGCCCAAAAAGTGCTCTGCTTTGAGACTGATCCTTCCTTTCATACAGCCCTGTGCTCCCACCAATGAGTCTAGAAAGCATGCCTGCATTCAGCTCTGTATCCACTAATTTGAGGAGAGAAGTCACTTCCTTGCAGAAAACGCTTAGCTTCACAAGCAGTTGTTCAGGGAAGCTAATGCCAAAGAACAGCAATGCTGGGCTGCCACAAATAATGGTGACATGGGGGGGGGATGGGATTGTTATCCTTTTCACTTGGAAAAGATGGCAAAGGACATCAACAAAGACAGAGAGTGAACTAATGATAAAAAGGGAGAGATGTTACTCACATGAATGTACATATATGCATGCTTACACACACACACACACACACACACACACACACACACACACACACACACACACACACACACACACACACACACACACACACACACACACACACACACACACACACAGAGCATTTAAACCAGAAGTTGTTAAGAATTTTAGGAGCAAAAGGAAGTGGGAGTGTTTAAGACCAGCAATGTTCAAAGAACCTAAAAATGAATCACCCAATGGCTGACTTGTATACACACTTAGAATGATGGAGAAGGAACAACTGGAATGTGGTCTTTTTCCAGCATGGGAATATGAAAAGCATGGCATGCCCTCTCTAGGTGAAGGAACATGCAGGCAAAACAGTTCTACATTTGCACAGCATTCTAGAGGCCTATTTTGAGGTTTATCTATACCACCCTAAACACACCTGATCTCATTTGATTTTGGGGCTAAGAAGAATTGGTACTTGGGTGGAGATTGGCAGGAAATACCAAAAAATTCTGGGTCAAGCTAAGAACAGTTGCGGCCCAAAAACCTGGACAACTGCTGCCAGTCAGAATTTACAATAATAAGCTAGGTGGGCCAATGTTCTACCTCAGAAATGAGTTACACATTTTCCTGTGTTCCTGGATGCACAATTTCATATTGTCATCATCTAATTCTTAAGCGCGCACACACACACATTTGCAGGGATATTCAGATTCCTTCTGGGCATGCCTGAAGACCCTTTCTCATCACTGAACACAACATATTCACCTACATATCATTACGAGGAAAGGAATGAGCTTCAAGAAAAGATGCTGTGGTTCCTATGCTGCTCTGAACCCAGCTCCTTCTTTGTAAAACATAACCATCTCCTCCCTTGCAAGCATTTCTTAGAGTGGATATCTAGTATATTTTTGTCCCCCCAAATATACTTCAATGTTTTGACCTATACTTTTTTGGTATAGTATTTTGACAATGTTTATCCTTTGTCACAGGCAAGTGCTCCTCAGAAGCTTGACCCTCTGCCTCCTGCTTTCTTCGTACTTCAGTTCCCCCACAGTCTGGAATCTATGAAATAATAATGTGGAAATTGATTTCTAAGCTTGTTCAGAGTGCCTTCTTTGGCAGTGAAACAATTGTTGTCTCTCTTCAGCCATGTAACAACTCAGAAATAAGGGCAAAAGGGATTAGGGTGGATCTAATCACATCCACATAGACAGCAAACCTTTCTTTTGTCATCAGAATGTCCTTGTTGGCCTTCCATGTCAGAATTTCGACCACTCAGAATTATTCTTCATCCTGAAAGGTTTCTAGAATTCATGGGTTTCAGTCCATTATTATACCTCACAAAGGGGCCGTTACGTCACACTCAATCACTCTTCGTTTCCACTGCCACCAACCATTCCCTCAAATGAAGCTTCAGGCCAAAGTATGATTTCAAAATAAAAACTTATGTTTATTGTGTACAAACAAAAGGAATGGTAAATCACTAGAATATAAATAATACTTTAATCACTTTAATAATATAACAATCACACACACACACTCACAGACTCTCACTATGTAGCACAGTTCTTATCTCACAATATCTCCTAGCCCTATCTCCCTATCTCAGCCCTATCTCAAAGCCCTATCTCAAAGTCCTATCTGGCCCTATCTGAATCTCTCACACCATTCACTCCCCTTATATACAACAGCTCCACCCCTTATATCCCACCCTCCGTCACGCCATTGGTAGATGACACACAGCTTCAGCAGTGAAGGGCAGGTGATGTCATAGCTGTATGTAACAATGGGTTTCAGTCCATTACTAAAGAGGGATGCAATAGAGAATATCAAATAAGTTAATATGGCTCCATGATTCATCCTTAATGACCACTTTTTCAAAAAGAAAAGAAAACGATGGCTGCAGGCATTCGACAGCCAAATTTAGTAGACATTGGGGAAAGGGCTTTCAGAGGCAGGCAGCTGGACTTTCATTTCATGGTAAAGATCAGTGTGGATTAATATCCAACAGTCATTGACCTTTCAGGTTCAGTATTGCTCGCCCAAGAATTCAAACTTATACATTCTGGTTCTTGAGAAAAAAAGCTGAGAGATGAGATAGCCAATTCACATGATAAATTTTGGAAAATTGTGATAACTACAATGGTCTTTTGATAGAAGATGATCACTGGCAGTGATCTAAGTGATCACATTTTTAAGTCACCTAATCCATGTTTTGGCGGTCACTTTCTGAACAAGGGAGACTCATAACATCATGTGGATAATCTATATGGGAGTCAGTACTAGATGTTAGCGGTTCACATTGAAATCCTTCAACATAAGAAGGCCTGTTTCAAACTATGTGCAACACATGCTTCCATAGTTTGATGAATCAGATTGAGGAGAATTTATGAATACCACCTAAACCTTTATTTTATGCTGGATTAATAACATTCAGTGTGGATTCTGCTCCTCTCTGCTATGTTTAAGGGTCTGCATGAACTACAGGTGAAATTAATTTAATTACCTTAAAATATTTTCTGTGAGTCTTATGGATGCAATGAATATTTGTAAATTTTGTTATCTTTACAAAAAAATGTTGAGAAACTTTTGTAGAAAACTCATGAGGGTTTATTTGCGGTATTTGAGAAATGCGCAAAAACATTCATAAACTCACCCTGTATAAGGAATACCTCTGAAATGTTTCATCACCTGCAAAATGAAATAAGTAAAGATTTGTATATCCAGTTTTGTTAATTAATGTTCTCCAAATTTCAGTAGGCAAATAGTCCAAAATATTTGGAGAACATGTAATAATTATCTCAGTATTTGACATTTAAAGACCAATATCTCATTAAAATCATTAGGCATGCAGAAGGAAATTGTAAAAGTGGCTGCAACAATTTTGCATGCCTGGTCATGTGATAGGAACTCTCCACACATCTGTAGCCACTCACACAATTTGTCATGCACACATGATGATTTGGATAAGTTATCAGCCAAAATTGTCAAATTAATAACATATTTGACAGATGGCACACACAACAATCCAAATGAATGATTACCTAAGACTCAGCAGTCAACATTTGACAAAACAAGAATGGTAGCATAAAGTAAGTACAGGTACTTGACAGTATATGTCATGGAGCAATCAATTTTGACAGCTGGCTTGCTATAAGAATCAATAGTCTCACAGGCTGAAAAATTTAGTAAAATTTTATATGAACATATGTTCCTTGATTAAGACATTTAACACTAAAATCTGAATTTGCATGTCAAATTCATCTCTGAAATTAAAATTAACATGTTGCATTGGAGATCATATGTTAACATCAAGCCTGTCATTCTAAATTTGAAAATTCATTGAACTTTGAAATACAACAGATTAATTTTGACACATTAGAAGAAAACCCATAGCCCACTGCCATTACAGAATTTCACCCCTGATGAAACTTGCCATTTTGGCTTTCATGCTTTACCAGAGCTTCCTAATCTTGTTTAGAAATGCTAGCCCAGACAACAGTATAAAGATGTTCCTTTAAAGGATGGTATGAGCTGCTTCTCAAAACTGCAAAGAGTAAGTATTAGCAAATGTGATCTACTTGATTATGTACCAAGTAGACAAAGTGAAGTCATTGTGTCCTGGCTGGATAGCTCAGTGGTTTAAGTATCCGGCTGTGGAGCCAGTCATTTGGAGTTCAATTTCCCCATAGTGGCTCCTGGGAGAAGAGCCAGCTTGTGTAGTCATGGCCAAGCTGTAAAGTCCCAGGGTGCCACCAGAAAAAGGGAATGGTGAACCACTTCTGTGTATTTTCTAATTAGAAAACCCTGGAAAGGGTCATCATAAGTCAGAATTGATGACGAAGGGTCATCATAAGTCAGAATTGATGATGATGATGATGATGATGATGATGATGATGATGATGATGATGAAGAAGAAGAAGAAGAAGAAGAAATAACTTGCCAGCCTCCAAAAAACCCATAGGGACATCAGGTAGAGAAGGTGTCAGAAAATGACAACATCAAGATCTTGTGGGATTTCCAGTTCCAAACTGATAGAGACTTTGAATTTAACACACAAAACATAGTAGCAATAGAATGAAGAAATGTCTGGATCATTGACATTGCAATTCCGGGGGATGCTAGAGTTGAAAATAAAGAATTAGAAGAACTAAAAGATACAGAGATCTGGCAATCAAAACATCTTGCCTCTGGAAGAAATACACTTCATTGGTCACCATAGACATTGGGGCTTTGGGAACAATATCAAGAAATATCACACAGTATTATAAGCAGTTGCAGATCTCAGAAATCACACCGTCAGAGTTACAAAAAATAGCTATATTAGGAACAGCATACATACTGCACCAATATTTAACAGATACTGAGATTTT